ATGGGCAGGAATTCCAGGGGTGGGCAGGAACTCCAGGGATGGGCAGGAACTCCAGGGATGGGCAGGAACTCCAGGGATGGGCAGGGATGGGGAGTGATTCCCCGCAACTCCCTGAGATGCCCGGTCATGTCCAGGGATGCCCAGAGAAACCCAGGAATGCCACAGATGCCCAGGGCTGCCCAGTAATTCCTGGGAGGCCCAGGAATGGCCAGGGATACTCAGTGATGTCCAGGGATGCCCAGCAGCCCCCCCGGGGATATTGGGGTGCCCCCCCGGTACCTTCAGGCAGTTGAGGACGGAGGTGGAGTAGGTGGGTGCCACGGCCGTGTACGTCCGCCGGAACATCCTGGGGGGGAGGCAGGGCTGGGGGGGCTGGGGGGCACAGCCGGGACCCCCCCGGGGGCTGGGGACAGTCCCTGGACATGGGGACACTCCCTGACCACTGGGGACCCCCTTGGGCACTGGGGACCCACCCCCAAGTGCTGGGGACAGTCCCTGGATATGGGGACAGTTCCTGAGTACTGGGGGACCCCCATGGGCACTGGGGACCCCCCTGGGGGCTGGGGACAGTTCCTGGAAGTGGGGACACTCCCTGACCAGTGGGGACCCCCCTCGGGTGCTGGGGACACTCCTTGGACATGGGGACACTCCCTGACCACTGGGAACCTGCTCCCAAGTGCTGGGGACCCCCCGGTTGCCAGGGACAGTCCCTGGATGTGGGGACACTCCCTGACCACTGGGGACCCCCCTCAGGTGCTGGGGACAGTCCCTGGACATGGGGACACTCCCTGACCACTGGGAACCTGCTCCCAAGTGCTGGGGACCCCCCGGTTGCCAGGGACAGTCCCTGGATGTGGGGACACTCCCTGACCACTGGGGACTCCCCCTGCATTCTGACCCCTCCCGTGGCTGCCCCCCGAGTGTCCCCCTCCCCCACTCTCCAGCCTCCCCCTCCCCTTTTCAAGCTCCCACCTCCCCTCGAGCATTCCCAGGGTTAACATTCCCACCTCTCCACGAATATTCCCGCCTGGACGGCGTGCACGATGCTGCGGAACTTGGGTTTCTCCTCGGCCCGGCGGCCCTTGGCCCTCGCCTGCTGCGTGAACGTGGCCGCCAGCCAGTCCCGCACCTCCGACGGCACCGCCGCGTCCGACCCCATCTCCCGCAGCTCGTCCTCCGTGTCCAGCACCTGCCTGGGGGGGCGAGGAGGGGTCAGCTCCCCGCGGGGACCCCCCCCCCCCGCCCCCCCCTTTCCCCCCCCGAGTGCCCCCCCCGCCCACCTGGTCTCGTCGATGTAAACGGCCTCGAGCAGCGAGGCCGCGTATTCCAAATTGCGCTTGAGCTCCTCCACGTTCACCTCGCCCGAGTCGAGCTGCTTCACCAGGTACCGCAGCCTGGGGGGCAACGCGCACACCGACCCCCCCCCGGGGTGGGCACGGGGTGTTATGGACCCCCAGGGACAGCGGGCATGACCCCCCCGGGGTGGGCATGGGGTGCTACGGACCCCCCAGAATGGGTACGGGGTGTTATGGGAGCCCCAGAATGGGAACGGGGTGTTATGAACCCCCCCAAATGAGGAGAGGGAGCTACGGACCCCCCGGGGTGGGCACGGGGTGTTACGGACCCCCCAGAATGGGGATGGGATGTTATGGACCCCCCAGAACGGGCACGGGGTGTTACGGACCCCTGGAATGGGCACGGGGTGTTACGGACCCCCGAGGTGGGCACAGGGGGTTATGGACCCCCCCAGAACGGGCACGGGGTGTTGCGGACCCCCGGGGTGGGCACGGGGTGTTATGGACCCCCCAGAATGGGGATGGGATGTTATGGACCCCCGGGGTGGGCACGGGGTGTTACAGACCCCCCCAGAATGGGCACGGGGTGTTATGGACCCCCGGGGTGGGCACGGGATGGGCATCATGAGCCCCCTCCCCCACGAGCGCGGGTGTCCCTGAGCCGGGGGGGGGTTTTGGGGGCGGGGGGTGCCCATCTGGCTGCCGGGGAAG